AGTCACTTCCTCTGAGGAGAAGAAACAATGAAAAATTGAATAAGTATAAGATCTTTCTGGACAAATGCGGTCACCACGCGTCCTTGACTCCCACCTTTGGCCGTGCTGATCTTGCACATGTACGTCCCGCTGTCGTCCTCGTGCACCGAGTTCAGCAGCAGTCGACATCTTCGACCGTCAAAGTGCATCTTGCAGTTGAGCAGCGCGGGCTGGATGAGTTTTCCGTCTGCCATCCAGTCCACATCCGTGTCTTTTGGTCCAAGGACGTGACACTCAAACAGGACCGTCTCCCCAGCCTTGGCTGTGATGTCTTTGACCGGACGGATGACGGCGAGGCCTGGCTCAAATGGTGCAGCTGTTTTCACACACAGAGAACATTTCAGTTTACACTTTATTCTCATCAGTGATGTCAAAAAAATGTTTTTTTTTATACTCATCAGTGATGTCAAAAAAATGTTTTGTTTTTTTCTTATATATGAGAAACAACATGAAATGTCTGTTAAAACCACCTACCTTTGACCTCCAGCTTGGCTTTACACTGCGTCGTTCCATATTCATTGATGATCTTACAGGTGTAAACGCCAGAGTCCGACCTCACAGCAGACTTGATCGTCATCTCAAATGTTCCGTCTACTTTCTCACGCACGACATGGCGTGGCCCGGTTTTTACGGTGACTCTGTCCCTCAGCCTACACATGGGTGAAACCAAGGTACGAATCATAAACCTGAGGTAAACAAGTATTCATATAAATTAATATAATTAATATCTCATTACTAATTACAATTCTGCCTCCATCATCTGCCTCCAGCTTAGCCTAGCAGGACAATGCTGCCCCCTACAGTCAGTTCATTATATGCAGAACATCTAACAGGGTTAACAGATGCGTTTGGGACATAAAAATTCTCGATCAACCATGCAGACGCAGACAAGCTTGTTTGCTCAGGGATCGTGATCCTGGAACAGTCACACTCCATTGGCTGCAGACATTTGACAAACCTACCAATAGAGCATGGGTTTGGGTTGTCCACTTATTCGAACAGACATGGTGACCTCCTGACCTTCAATGACGCCTTGATCACTCACTGTTGACTATTTAAGATGAAAAACAAGTTAGTGATTCACATTGACCCTTTTTACAGCTATTGCTTTAAAACAGTTAACCTTTATTAGAAGTACTGAAGAAATAATAATATTATAATGATTTAAAGCAGTGGTTGGGCAGCCAAGACTCACCAGAAAAACTGGAGGTTTCCTAAAGTGTGCAGGAATAGTGGACTTTGTCTCCACTCCTCCAAAATCAATGCCCTCCTCCAGTGGACTCAGATATTCCTCATCGGATGTTATCGGGCTGCTGATGTCCCGAGGAACACCCAGGATTCCTCTGGGCTCCTGAACAGACGCTGCAAAAAAAAAGAAAAAAAGAAAAAAGCTTGTGATTTGTGTGACTCTTAAATTATGCCTTAATTTTTTCCCCCACAAATTATGACATAATGACAAGAATACCTTTTAAACTCTTTGACCTTTTCAACATAATTAGAATCTAAGTCAAGACGTAATATGTCCAAACAACGGTTGATATAAAGTGAGCGGGGACTCAGTAGGCAATTTATAGCTTCAGTTTCACCTTTGTGTTGCCATGGCAACTATAAGTGAGCTTCTTCAGCTGGAATACACAGCACGCACATTTGCTCACAGAGATAAAGACAAGTGTGAGGGAAAACCGATTTGCTGAACCACAATACTTGTGTGTTTCAGACTCATTTTTAGACTTTAGGACGGGCCTTCAGTTTATACTGTGTATATATGTGTTAGTCAGTTGATAATGGATTCTCATTTTATAAAAACCACCCTGCCAAGAGGCGACAGCAAGAGGCAATTGATGCAATTTGCATTAGGGTGAGAAATGAGGAACAACCAAAGGAGGCGCCATGGTTAGTACTGTTGAGTAAAAAAAAAAACCCATTGTTTCAGTATCAGAGTTGCTTAAAAATTGTAATTGTTTTTTTTTTAATAAGGGTTTACAGAATCGCCTGCATCCAGCAGATGGCGCCCTTGCGCTCAAGCTATACCAAGAGGCTGTGAGTGATATGACAGGAGTCAAACTTACCTGCTTTAACGGTGAGGGTGGCACTGCTGGATGCCTTGCCCACCTGATTCACAGCAGTGACACAGTATTTGCCTCCATCCGTCGTCTTGGCTGATTTGATCAACAGACTGTGCCTTTCACCCTCTACTTTGACTGTGTAATTTGCCACACCGGTGACACTCTTGTTGTCTTTTGTCCAGGTCACTGAAACAAAGAAAAGAAAGAATATAAAGAATATAAAACCAAACCTTTCATAATAGCTTGACTCCATTTGTGGAAACATTAAATGGACTTGTTTACCTTCAGGGGTCGGGGCTCCAGCAATGATACATTTCAGGAGTACATCTGCTCCGGCCGATGCAGTGGTGTCGTGGAGCGGAAACTCAAATACGGGGAATTCTATTGGGTCCTCTTCTGCAGACACGTAAGAGTCGTCGGAAGAATCTGTGCAGTGAAAACAATACAAACATGAGATTTTGATTTTTTTTTTTATGAGATGACTGAATTCTCTAATCTGTTTTAAAATGTAATGGAGAATGAGAAAATACAAAATGTTGGTAAAAATGGATGAAAATCAAACCTAGTTCCGGTGACATGGGTCGTGGGCGCCGTTTTTTTCCTCTGGTCTTCTGTTGCTGTCCTTCTTTGGAAACCGTGGTTGTTTTCTGCAGCTCACTTGGTTTTTCAGGCACGTCCACTTCCATTTTTTCATCCTCTACAATTATCGTAGGGATGGTGATCTTGGCGGTGGGTTTCGATAGCTCCACTTCCATTTTCTCCTCTGTGGGCATGGCTGCTGATAACCTCGGGGCTTTTGGAGGAGGTTGAGGTGGAGGATCTGGAACTATAAGAATTCTCTTCTGTACCAGCGGACTTTCAGGCCTGTTTTCTAATTTCCTCAGCGTTACTTCTATTGGCGTTTTCCTCCCTGAACTTTCATCCTTTTGCAAAACCGAGTCCTGAATATGTGTGGGTTCCTGTCCTCTAGACACTCTTTGTACCAGAGGGCTTGGTGGCCTTTTTTCAATTTTTCGAAAAGTCATCTCTGCAGTGGTTCTACCTGGTCCATCCTCCCTCTGTTGATTATACAGCGCTGGCGACGGCGATCTCTGAATGATTTCCGTGACAGGACTGACTCTACTCAGTTCTCTCACAAACCGTTGTCCTGGTAGGTCCGACAACTGCATTGACTCTGGTGGGCCTGCAACTTCTCCAAATCTACTGACCGTCACCGTTGTGGTGCCGGTGGTCTGAGGTTGGGATTTATGCTCTTCCTGCTGCCGCTGGTGGTCTTGCAGTGAACGCGGACTTGGGTCTTTTTCTCTTTGCTCCTTGGCCCTCTGCGCTTGTTCTCTTTCTTGGAGTTTTTGAAGGACTTGCGGAGGGATTGGTTCAATTTTTCTGAAAGGCTGCCGCTGCTTGCCCCGTAGAGTTAGCTGTTCAGTGGAAAAAGATTTCTTCATATGAGGTTTCCCAACCAGTTTTTTTATGCGTTGGAGTTCTTCTGCAAACTTGTTCTCAATGTCCTGGACTTTTTGAGAGTAGCGCGGTTTCTCCTCAAGGGACGCAGCTCTTTGTCTAAACATTGATCTCCTCTCAGCAGCGTCCTCTTTCAGAGCCTCTCGTAGATCCTCCCTTGAACTTTCCCGAGAGATTCCCAAACGACTACCCCCATCGTCAGAATCCACAGATCCAGCACGATTGAACCCCGCCCAGGATCTACCCGAGCAAGAACCTTCCGGAATATCAAGGCTTTTCCTTCGCTCTTCTAAACCACGGACCTTCTCGAAGATCTTTGAGCTCGCCCTGGTGAGCTTTGGGGATGGTCTGAGGGTAAATTCTTTACGGGAGCACTCACTCGATGGAGTCTGTGGACGAGAGTCCTGAGTAGTAATTTGAGATACAGACTTTGGTTGCTTTACCTTTTCTTCAAACTCCCCAGGAACGGTGTCTTGGTACTCAGTTGGCACAGCTACTTTTTTTCGTAAACTAGTGGGTGTGGTTGAACCAGAACGATTTTGCATTGGTGAGGTGGAAGGACATTTGACAAGCCTTGGGGACGGAGGTGGAAGGGCTTGAGCTGGAGATTTTCTTGAAAAGTCCTCAGACTGATTCCTGATGTTGCATTTTAATAAATAAAGAAAAGAAATGCATAAAAAGTACAATGAGGAAATAAACATTATTATTTTTTACGATGTCATGTGTCATGTTCTTACCTGACTGCATCCAAGTGATCCTGTTGTCCACATGGTTTATTATCATCGTCTGCATTTTTTTCCATCACTACATATTAAATATCAAATGAGTTGGCAACAGTTTACCAGTCCGGTATTTGTAATAGGTTTGACTCTAATGACGATACTATATATACCTGTGTGCAAAGCCTGGTCCTCAAAATCTCCGCCATCTTCTTTGGTCTCAAAGTTTTCTTCACCTTCATCCTCTGTTGTTTCGGAATCTAAAAGAACGCATAAAGATATAAAAAATATCAATAACGATCATAAAAGAATGAATCTTGAAGTTTAAGTTTATATTGTAGTTAAATGCACATAAAAGAATGAATCTTGAAGTTTAAGACTATGATGACAGTTTATCTCTTATGATAAAATACCACAGAATAAAACAAAAATTAAATTACAGCTAAATGTTGTATATTTATTGGGCCAAAAATTAGGACTATCCTAGTAATAAAACAAATAGAATAAATGTTAGTTAAATATTTACGAATATATTTAATGTATTATTATTAATAATATTATTATTCTTAATGTTATTATGGAAACATCTCCTAACTCCACATGCATTTGACGTTATTCGACACTCCTGTGTTGATTGTTTGAAGTTTGTACAAAGCAACAACAAGCAGAGCTTTGACGCTGGTGTCTGTTGGCCACATCCCACACAACACTGTGTTCTGGTTCTCCTCTCACTTATGGCTGAACTGAGAAAACAGCCTCATCTACTCAGATCTTCAGTGTATCCCACCCACAGTGTTGATTCAAAAGAGCCATTTGATTTTTTCTATACATCTAAAATATATTGTATTGTCCCTGTTTGCCGTATGAAATGCAGGACAGCTGAAACATACTTGCCTGATTCTGTCTTTGGATTTTTGTTTTCGTGCTTTTTGGCATATCCCCGACCAACCTCTTTTGTCTTCGTCTACACTCAGCAGCAGGGTATTCCCCAGAATACAGCGGGGGATCCGAGCCATTACTACACATCTAAATCAGGTTATTCTCTACCACGACAGCAGCATATTACACACGCCTTGGCTGTGAATGGTCCGACCGGGTGGTACAGTGCAAACATGCAGATGAAGTCTCCTCAGTCACATGGAGAGGGGAAAAAAAGAAGGCAAAGAAAGAAAGGCACCTCCGTTATGTAACAAGTTGCAGCTCAGAGCCTCAGCAGCAGGGAGAGAATCTGCTCTGGAGAAATAATCACACAGCATAGACCTCCAGCCGCTGCTGGAAACGTCTTTTGAATGCACATCATACACACGAAGGAAGTCCTCCCACAATCCCGTCCCCCCCTCCCCCCCGTCCACACAATTGCCAGCGACATTGGGAGCAACTCTCCCTGCTGTGTTACACCTACAGGAAGTGCACGCTGATAGGTAGAAAAAAAAAAAAAAAAAACAACAACGGGGGAGTGATCCAGCTTTTTTAAGACTGCGTTCCACAGCTTTGCATAATATTATTTTATTGTTTTCCTTTTCTATTCCCGTGTTTTCGTTTCTGTTTTTTTCCCCCCAGCTGGTGCACCAGGCTGGTGGTGCTGTTGGCAGAGAAACAGATGATTACTGCAGCAGCCACAGGCACCAGGCTGATTCCTTTGAATTGCTGGATCAAACGAGAGATGATTGCCTGATCACACGCGTGACACAGAAACACGATCTGCTCTCCATTCTGAATGGTCATTCAGCAATTCTGTCATTGAAACTGCTAATGATGTCTGATGTTGTACAATGACATTAGAGGAGCCCAGGTCTGAAAATGATTCTCACAACTGCTGGACAGTTTTCCTACAATTAAATTGAACAACCTCAATATATCACCGTGCCTACAGTATCACAGTGTATTGCAATACATTGTATCGTTGCCCCTGTATTATGATAGATATCGTATCTCCAGATTCTTGACAATACACAGCCATATATAAATAAACTGACTATTGAAATTAGTTGACTGATTAGTTAACTGTGTCTGGTCAGAACAGCATGACAGCAGTTCTATCCTCAGATCAACATATAGATTAGCCTAATTAGTGAAGATTCCAAACCCACGTTCCTTTTCCCTGTTTTCATGTGGATTTACCCATTTTTTAGGCAGACACCTTAACGTGCATAAACACACAATAATTTAATGATTGAATCATTGCCTCTTACATGTAAGTCACTTTAAAGATGGTATAAATGTGTTTATGCTTACTAAAGCAACACGGTGGAACAGGGGATTTCCACTGTGTAACCACTGCTCCACCTGTTCAGCCTTACTCACGGTCCAAGAGCAAGACAACACTGTGGAGACGATCCAAACACACTGGAATGAAGCCACGGTCACACTCTGTGACGGCTTCTAACGGTCTAACAAACAGACCGTCTCTGTTAAAGCCACGTCGGTAGAACGGGCTTAAAGGTGTTCATTATGACGTTCAACTTATTCTAACAAACAGACCGTCTCTGTTAAAGTCCCGTCAGTAGAACAGGCTTAACAACGTTCATAATGACGTTCAACTTGATTGATTTGCTTGTTTCTAAATTTCAGTCAAAGCTTCAGTCTTTGCTTCTGACACAGGAGACACCATCCCTCTGGGAATCAAACCTAGGACTCTCTGTCTGCGAGGCAGGAATTGCTACCCATTGATATGAATCCAATCTGTATGGACACTTGATGTTATGTCACATATCTTAAACGAAACTAGGGCAGGTTGTCGTCACGGTGCTGTGATTGATGTCCGTCAAATCACGCTCATATGTCATTCAGAGTTTCACCTCACACTGTATCAATCCAGCCCTACCTCCGATGGAGAGAAAGCGACCAATAAGAGGAGATTTATACCTAGACATCACAGAGTAAATTTGACTCAAATCAAAACAGCTCAAAGTCAATATAGACGCAGAGACTAATCAATCTAAATGACTGTGGACTAGTACATCTAATCCTGGACCGTGTCAACCTACATGGGCTTCAGAATGCTGTGGATTTGTTTCAAATACAAATTCTTCTCCTTCTCGTATTAGTGGACGGACAAAATCAGGCAGCCACAGCCTGGCTAAAATTAGCAGTGATGTCTTTCTGGGAAACAGGACACCGGCCTGCTACCATCAGAAAAATCTAAGGCCTGGCACATTCCACTGTATAAATAACTGGGGTGAGATGGTGGGCGTGGGAGGTGAGAGAGAAAGAGACTGTTTCAAAGAGGTAGAGAGAGAGAGAGAGACAGAGAGAGAGAGAGGAACGGGCCCAGGCCCAGTATGAGTGACTGAGTGATGGGACAGCTGTAGATCACTAACTGAGATCAGAACAGAACAGAACCCACCCTGGGCTAACATTTAGCATAAAAATTGCTAAAAGTTTTAAACAACTGTTTATATAACTCAGACTCTCACCGAGTTAAAGAAGGCCAAATGATTTTGACAAAGACTCCCTTCTTATACACCTTGTCTCAGACATTTTTTTTAGTCAACATCTGGGTTGCGAACAACTGGTTCAAGCCTCACATAAGCAAGACAGCCAGACTCCAATATTTACAGCAAGACAGTTAATGTTGTTAAAATGAGCTTTAGGTTCTCTACATTTCCTTTAAACAAGTACTTTTCCTTACACAATTTAAGACAGCACTGACATTTGCCAACACCTCAGCAGATGGAACATTCTGACTGCTGTTGTCTAAAATCACAATTGAATTAATACATAAATACAACATACAACAAGTAGAGGATGGAGGAAGATGGAGTGAAAAAATCTCCTGAATCTTCTGAGCACCGTGCATGCAGACAAAAACAAACAACCAAGATATGTAAATAGATAGATAGATAAGAAAATATTATGCCAATGCCTGCTACCACACTTTGGTACCGAGAAAATGTAATTTCCACTAGAAGAGTAAGATTCTAGTCATGCACACTTTCATGTCAGCACACAGAGCTAAGGTTGTTATAGCAGCTGTTGAGTTGAATTTATACCCGTTTTATGAATGTCAAATTTTCTATAATAGAATAGCAATATATATACACATATATACATATATTATATATATATATATATATACATACACATATATATACATATATATACACATATATATACACACATATATATATATCTATATATAAAATATATCACAGCCTGGTTGTATGGTACCTATGAGCCTGAGCAACTCTCTCTAAAATTAATCAATTTCATACACCGCACCAAAACCAACGAAACAATGCTAATTATTTTTATGCAGTAGTATGCAAAAAATAAATAAAATTATGCAAACCTCACTTAAATGATCTTGAAATGTCCTTGAATTAACTCCAATAATAGAATATAGTCATATTTTGCAGGACAATAGTTTGTCCAGCAAGATTTTTTTAAACTTATGGATCATATACTTCTTGAATAAATGAAATCTAGTAGTAGGTTTGATCTGTTCACCTCGTTTGAATTGTGCAAAAGTTAAAAAAAACAACAACTAAGAATGACATAACACCTTTAAAGTGAAACTGACTCATTTCAGTATTTGTAAAACAGAAACAGGAAATGGGGCAGTTCAAAAAATTCCAGGTACCACACTTTAAAATAATGCATTTAACAGCAACATAGGCATTAAGGGTAATTTCCATTTGTGTAACAGAGTAGCCCCTGGTTGAAAAAAAAATATATTAATAAAAAATCGGAATAACTATTTTACCAGGCAGGTGTTTTTTTTTTTTATATTAACAAACTACAAACCATTCCTCATACTTTTTTGGTCTCTGATTTATGGCACAACAGTAACATACTCCTGCCCATTGAATAGCAGTAATTTACATAAAATAAAGTTTTGCTTAACGGCAGTTTAGGTAAGATGTTGCACAAGTCTACAGTAACATCAAGTCTACAGTATCACCTCATCGTACAACTTTTCTGTGCCAACAGAGCTAACGTTAGCTACAACAGTCCTGTTAGAGACACCACAGCAAACGTTAGCTACAACAGGACTGTACAGAAGCTACAGAAGTTTATGAATAAGATTCCTTTCCATGTCTTACCTTCTCCCAAATCCAAGACAGCGAGGACAGCGCTGCTCCGAGCCTCTCCCAGGTGATTATTGGCAATGCAGGTGTAGAGTCCGGCATCACTTGGTTTGCAGTCTCTTATCCAGAGTCCCCCATATTCCTGGTTCTCCATGTTGAGCAGGTCATCATTGTGGTACCAGTACAGGGAGGGTTGCGGGTCTCCAGCCACTGTCACCTTCAGACGAATGTCACAGCCTGTCCCTACGGCAGCGTTTCTCATTTTCCGTACAAAAACTGGTGCCGACGGGTTGGGGTAACCCGGTCCTCGAGGCTCTGGGACAACTTGCTCTAGGTTTCCTCTGGAGCGCTTTGGAGGGATAATTGGGCTTCCAGGGGCCACTGCTTCATCTGGCCCTTTTCTCAGGTTCACTTGCACCTCTGATTTCCTCATTATGACTAACTTTGCCAAAACCCCCAATTTGTTCTGTAACTGTACTTCAAATGTCTGTGTCTAAAGCTCTGGCTGACATTAATGCTAACATATTCTCAGCGCCTCTGATTTAAGTAATAGTTATTAGTCCTTTTTTTTAATTCTAATCACGCACAAGCACATCTGCCTTTGTAAGCCTTCATGACTACTCTATGAACCAGAGCTGCCAGAAAAAAAAAAACCCAAAACTGATGATTACCAGGTAAGTCAGTTGATAGAGATGGATTCCTCTGTGCTGCCGAAAGGTATTTTTAGGGCAAGACTTACTAGATCACGTTGCACTGATAGATCCCTTGACTTGGAAGTAAAGACTCGGCTCTTCCCTCCCTATCCTTGGTGTTCTGTGGTTTTTTTAGCCTCTCACCACCATCTTCCCGTATCATGCCACCAGCAGAATCCTGTTAATCCTCCCTTTTCTTCGTTTACTGCCCAAGTGCCCCTTACATGTCTTTTAGTCTGGCCTTTGACTGAATACAATCCTCAGGTCTTGTCCGGCAAGTTGCATAGTCACCCCTCCTCCTTGTCCCATGAGCTGAGCCCCCCCACTATTGGACACCCACCCTATACCAGTGAATCCGAAGGGGGAAATGGCAATCACAGCCCAGTGGACCTTACAATGACAGCTGCGTGGCAAACTGTCTGCCCACTCAGAGCTAGGCTCCCACCCCCAGGACATTTTTAGCCAACCTGAGGTCAGTAGAACATGTGAGATGGTGCAACATTTGGCATAGAGAGAGTATGTGTGAGTGTGGGTCAGATACCTTTGTAGTTCAAAAAAATAATAATAAAAAAATTGTATCTTGGTGATATTGGTTCTAGAAAAGAATGGTTTAGTATGAAGTGTCTCAATTTTAAAGATCAATTTAGAGGGGTTGTACCAACCGATCTGGGAACGGAGATCGTAATATAAAGTTTTTGACATACCATACCAAGTGATCTGTCACCAAGGTAAGCTGACGGAGGATATTTCGACAGATAGAAGGATGCTATGGCTTTCACGTGTTAACTGCGCTAATTTCAAACCACATCCAGGCAAAAGGCATTACAAAGTCTGTTCTGAACACTTTATTTCAGGTAAGTACATTATACTTTTATTTAATTCATATGTTCAATGTCAATAAAATTAAAGAATATCAAAATGTACTTTGCATACATAACCAATGTAAATGTAAATCCTCAGCTGACCATAGTCCATATCATTATCAGTATTTTCTATATACATGACAATTAAACTATTTTTTAATGAAAAAAAATACAGATTTTTTTTGTGATTTTGGAAAAAAAGTATAATCTAATTAATAGTAAAACGTGTCTTTTCCATCGAATATTTTCAACATGTCCATGTATCTTGCTTTTGTAATAATGTCTAATGAATATCTAAACAACAACTTCGTCTGATCTCCCTCCAGCGATTTAATATTCTTGTCTTTTGTTGTCATTATTGATTGTTTACGTGTACCTGTTCGTGTCTTTTATTAAACATCATGGCCGACGACGCGATGTATCATGGGTAATAACGATTACCGGAAAACCATCTATGAATGCCTTGGCCTGCTTACCTTTGCGTGAATCTCAGGATGACATGTTTGTAGACAACACAAGTACAAAGTAGTTGTTGTAACACAAATTTGTTACGTTCTTTAATCACATCGTTCGTCGTTCCTCGCGGCTCACGGTGTCTCTCATTCTCACTACGTTTTAAACTGAAATGGTTCCATATATCCGTCCTACGGGACATGTTTTCTTTACGCTACGTCACAAATTGTCCAGATTATTCCCGTTCTCTTCTTCTAACCTCCACCTGCCAGACCTGCGCTATGATTGGACCTCAGTTTTATGTCCCGCCCTACAGCCATCTCCCATTGGACGTCGTCCTTCTATTTCCACCGCAGTGTATATGACATGTATATGACCGTTAGAGACTTTTGACTCTTTATAGTTATTTTAGTCGATAGGCAGCGCCGTTTTTACTGAAAATCTTTCAAGAAAATTGTCGACAAAAAATTATATTAAATTAAAATAAATGTGTCATTCTTCATATCATATGCAAATTTGTTTTTTTAAAAAGAAGGCGTATTTGAGCAGATTTTGTATCTAGAGTTTATCTCTGTTGCGTAATAAACATAATACCTTTCGAAAGTAATAATATTCTTTTAATATATAAAAAAACAACTCAGAATAAAACTGTTATTTACACCATTTTATTTGTCAAAAGTCACTAAAAACACTGTATAATGAAACACATTTCTGAAACTTTGAAAAGTCTAAACGTTGCGTTAAAATGAATATGAACACTAAAAATAAATGTATTTGCCACAGCATAACCAGGCTGCAGGAGAATGGTCTAGAGAGACCCTGGACTGGAAATGTAAAAAACAATTAAAATCATATAAAGTGAAATGTAGTCAGAATATTACAAAATATTAGGAAACGTTTATTATAAGATTCAGTGCTTTTTCAACGCTGCCATTACAATACAATACCACCTCTCCCTCCAGCAAATATCACATTTTTAAACAAACAGGAACCGAGAACAGATTAAACAACAGGTGTCGATATAGTTATGTGTGATTTCTTTACACAAAAACTGAAACCTTTTTCACACAAAAATAGAACGGAAAACCTGGGGACCTGGGGTCAGAAACATCCTCCAGAATTCTACAGAGTTTAGATTCAAATAAGAGAAAATTTTGTACATTTCATAATACCCTTAAAAATTGCAGCATCACTTTGAGCAACATTTCTTTGTATGCAAAACCAAGGTGAATTCCTCTTAAAAAAAAGTACTTCATGAAAAAGTCCTAGTATTTATTATTTTTAACAGTGATACCATGTTTTACCGGTACATTCTACTATAAATCCATTTATCTACAGATTAAGAAACTGCTCTCAACAAAAACCTCTTGTATGTGTGAAGCATCGTCATGAACCCCTCTCTGTGCTCTGTTTAACACCAACTCTGACATGTTGTCTTCAGTCTCAAATTCATTGCTGCTCTTGTCACAACTGTGTGTTTTTATGTTGCGCTAAGATATGAAGATAAGTCAGGAAAGCTGTCCTTTCTGAATGAACTGTACCTTTCTTTGCTCAGATCACTGTGTCTAAAACACAGACGACTCAGTCCCTGTGTTGTTCTCACATGATGGCGGAAGTGATTTCCGATGACATAGAAGATCTGCTAGATCTGGTCACCGATGCTCTCTCTATGAAGCCGACCTTCCTCATGATCTGCAGCAGCCTCCTTCTGAACTTCTCTCCCACAAAGGCGTACAGAATTGGGTTGACACAGCTGTGAAGTAGACCCAGCGCCTGGGTGACAAACAAGGCCTTATCCACCGCCATCCTTGCGGGGCACCGGTAGGGAATAACCTTTGTTCTGAAGAAGGAATCTGTCATCAAAGTGATGTGGTACGGCGTCCAGCAAAGCAGAAAGACCACCACCACCACCACGATCACTCTCATGGCCCGTTGGCGCTGAAATCCACCACGGATGAGGAGCAGGCGTTTGATGGTCACACCATAACAGGGCAACATGATGGCCAGGGGAATCACAAAACCTAAACCATGCCTGAGGATTCTGGTGGCCAGGCGCCACTCATCCGCAGTGTTGGTGCTGTATAGTTCTGAACACACGGTTAGATTGGAGTGGAGAGGAATGAAGGCAGAATAGTAGAGGCCGGGCAGAGACAGCAGGATTCCAACGCTCCAGACAAGAGCACAAACTCCCCAGCTGAGCAGCTGGCGGTTTGTCTTGCGCACGTCCATTGCGCGGACAATCACGATGTAACGATCCATGCTGATGCAAGTCAGGAAGAGAATGCTGGAGTAGAAGCTCAGCTCTTGGAGGATGGTGAGAATTTTGCACATTGCATCCCCAAACACCCAGCCCCATGAAACAGAGACGGCAGAGAAGGGGAGTGTGACAGCAAGCAGGAGGTCGGCGACTGCCAGGTGGAGTAGGTAGAGGTCAGAGGGGGGCAGCGAGTGCTTGGTGAGGCCAATCACCAGCCCCACCACCAGATTACCAGGTATGGCCAAGAGAAAAACAATGGCGTAGAAAGTGCTGACCGCAACCATGGCTGCGCCCGGGAGGGACAGGAAGTCACAGGCTTGTGTGTCGGGGTTTACCTCGTACTCGCAGTTATTATATGAGCTGAAGTTGAGCTCCTCATAAAACATGTTGAAGTCCAGGAAGAACGAAGAAGAGTTTGAATCTAAGAATAAAAAATAAAAACCCCAAACCACACTTGTCATTCACCAGAGAAGATAAAACACATCTATAGTACTGCGTTATTATAATACATGAAGGTTACTATACTGTGTATATATGTTTCAGTACCCTTTTTAGCCTGTAGGGCAGTGGTTCTCAAACTTCTTATCCTGTGTATCACAATAATATTTCTCTCTCCAAGTAGCAGCAGTTTAAACATTAAAAACCCACAGAATATATTTCTTCCTATTGATACTGTGGGGCTAATTAACAACCAAGAAGTAAAACTGCAACAGGTACTTCAATTAGAAGCCCTGACTTCAATTCAGTGTATTTCAACTACTCACCTAACTCTAACTGGAAGCACATAACCACACACACGACTAAGAAGAAGAGTCAAAACAAAACCAGAGGTAAGTGCAACATAGTTTTAGAACCAATGCCCGGAGTTAAATTCCTCTCTGTATTTCTATCTGTTCACGATCACTTCAGTGATTAACACCAATTAACACACAGTTTTTGGTTCATGGCCAACACACCTCAGTCATGTCAGAGTCAAACCAGCAACTCATCAATGACAAAGTGTGATCATTTAAATAGTGAAAACTCAAATGAATTAAATAAACATATATATATATATATGTGTGTGTGTAATATTAAATATGTGTGTGTATTTGATTGCAGAAATGAAAGTACTCACCCGTCATGGTTGTGATCTTGTCAGACGCTGACTATGACATAGAGGAGTCAGGCAACAGCCTATGTAATGCTCTCCAGCTCCTCCTACATCAGACTGACAGTGGCTTCACTTTCCTGTTCTCCTCATCAACAAGGGACAAATGTACACATCTGTTTTAATACAGACGAGTCAGTATATTAAAAAAATATATATACAGTGGAAAAAATCTGAATCATAGTCTATATATTTGTATATACATATATGTATATATATATATATATATATACATACACATATATACATATATACATACATACACATATATACATATATACATAAATACACATATATACATATATACACACATACACATATATACATATATATACACACATATATACATATATATACACACATATATACATATATATACACACATATATATACATACATTCCTTAATCACCACTGCGAACAAATACAGTGTAAACACATATATACATGTATTGTCTACAACACATATATAGATAAAATATACATATATAGATAAATATATACATAAATCAAACATTATTTTGTAGAATTTGAATTATATAGACTTATGGCATGACCCTTTAAAAAAACACAAATTAACACACACCCTTTTTTTCTATATCTTTCCAGATTTCACATATTCAGTAGCTTTTTAAATTTTTTTTATTAAATGGAGTTGTTATTGAAGATTTCAGTTGTATGACAGAGTTTGTTGTCAGTGTGTTTTGTTTTGGTTTTGTTAGCTTGGTTGGTTGCGTTTTGATGAACCACAGTCACACCTACAAATCATTGTGGGCTGCATTGATGTGACAACTGACCCACGGTCATGAGATGCTGCTGTCACACTGTGGGAACTAACGAAAGAGAAACCACAATATATTTAGTTTTAAATGAATGGTTATGATGGGAGTGTTGGGCTAATATTGATCCTGTAGGTTGTTGATAAAATAGATAATAAAATACACAATGTAACCATATTTGGTTGGTAAAATAAAATTCGTCATATATATGGTTGAAAGTAAACAACGGGTTTGAAAAAATAAAAATTGAAAAATATATCTCGATCTGAAGTATACTCTGTGGAAGCAGATTTACCAATGGTCATCGACTGCTGCTGCTGCTGAGGGGAAGTTCCCACGTCTCATGACACACATCAGTGTTGACACTCGAGTGATGGGCATCTCGTTTCCTGCCACACGTCCCATGTATCGCAATGTTTACCGTCACATGTTGCAAAGGTGTAACAGACGGAAGTCAACATATAGTATCAACAATGTGCGGCCATGACCGTTGGTGGGGAAACTGTATGAAGAGCGCGTGACAACGGCACATGGTGTGGGCCCGCCCCCCACAGGTCTTTCTGGGTATTTCACGTTTCTGTGCACTGATTTCAACTTGGGTTTTCCAATTAATATTTCCACTGACGAAAGTGAAGGAGAAAGAATACGAGTGCGTCAGGTGTGACCAGAAGACGCAACATCCTCAGGTCATGACGTCCAGCAGCCTGCTGTAACACAGGATGTGGACAAACGGGTTGACGTTTTGTGAAATGCATTGGTTTTCAACGGAACAGGCTCAGCAGGTGGCTATGAAAAGCTGCAGAGACGAATACCTACTGAAGGTCATTGTCTTTGTTCACTTCCGGCGAGTATATCAGCGTGTCCAGTTGGACGGGCCCACGTTTGAGAAACACCTAAACTCAAGTTATAAGATCGTTATGTCATTACGTTGAGGTACGTGTATATTGGTGAACATGTACTTCATCTGTGTGAGCACTAGATGGAGCTAAAGGAAACGTCATCGGTGCTGCTGTCAAACAGCATTAATGGACCTGGGGTGGATCGATGGTTGTGCTGATGCTTGTGGGAAACTTTGGAACTTTTGAAACTTTGAAGGAGTGAAGGGTGTGTAAGGGGGAGAAGGGTATAACTATATGTAACCATAACTGTCCACAAGAAGAAAGGACCACTGCAGACTCAACTGGGAATTGTGGGTAAAACAAAAAACAAAAACACAAAACCTGTGTCCTCAGCTTTAGAGCGACCGTTTTCTTACAAACACAAACCAGCAGCTTCAGAACGTAGTTACAAACAAGACAGGTTTATTAGCGATATATAAATGGGCTGAAGGACAGGGCAGGGCTTTTTCTGGCATTGATAATTATTGATCACCGTGTGCGAAACACGTCCGCTCTGACATCGGAGACATTCACTCAGAAGATGTGCAGAAAGAAACACACTTCTGCGACAGTGTGGTCAGTAGAACAACTGAAAACCATTTGGAGAAGAGTCATTTCAGACCAACGCAAAAACAGGTGACAGATCTGCAGTTACTTCCTGTCACACTGATGTATGGAACTCTGCTTCCTGAAACCGTGATGTGGTAGTAATGATAAAGTCACTGCTGGGTTAATCTGGTGGGCCTTTCTGCCATTAACAGGAGTGGTCCCACCTTCACGATGGAACACTTGATGGCATTAATAAGATGAAGTCGGGCTGAGAACATAGTTAAAAAAAAAAAAAAAAAAAATCAAACATTACAGCTTTTCTTTCAAAGTCACTGAAGACACAAGTTTGTCTTTGGGAGGAAAGACTGAAGAATTCTGCTCTTGATTTCAGTCCACGAACTCATCCTTACACTTTTAAGGCCTTTTCTACTTCTTAAAAAAAAAAAAAAAAAAAGCAGAAACTCAGTTTAAATGACAGCAACGTTTTCTCAGTCATAAATTAAGCAAAGAAAGTGCATCAAGTGTTCAAGTAGGGTGTATCGTTGGGACAAGGGGGGGTGGGGTTGTGGTCGTGGGGGGGGGTGTGGGGGGGGGGGGGGGGGGGGTTGGTGGGTTCAACACTTCAACACACGACTGTCATTCTGCAGTGATGTCATGATTTGACTGCACAAGCCCCACTGGTGCATCCTCTGGTACGACACCATCACCATGTGCTGCTTGTGACTGGTCACACTACCTATTCAAACGCCACATTAGACCACGTTGGCTTGAAAACAATGAGGCTCCTAGTTCAGATTTATTGTGGTGAAAGCCACTGTCGGCCGTCAACTGTAAGGCTCAGAAGTTCATAGGGCAGGTAGGCAAATCAGAACAAACTCATTTCTCATCCCATCACCACCCACCACCTGATTTCATCTTTTGGCACGGCGGGGGTCCCGGCCGTTGCTAATGGTAACAGAGGACTTTGCGGCTGTGGGTGGTCCCGTTACAGACACAGGGGGGGCTCCGTTACCGGGGGCCCGACCGTTGGGTCGCCCGGCGCTTCCATACGTAGAATCCCGGGGTCCACCTGGCGCCGGGTTGTTATTGGAAAAAGGAAGGGTGGAACCATTACCTGTGGGTCAAGGGTCAACAAGTCAGTCGTCAGATATTTTCTTTCAGATATCTTCAAAAAAGGTATAATACTGAGATGGATTCATTATTAAAAATGATTAAAAATAAGTAAATTAATGTTTTATTGGATTACATATACTACATGTACATTTGAGTATTAGATGTATTTGTTATTATGGGTACGACTAATGTCTACAGCAGGGGTGTCCACACTTTTTTGGCACGGGAGCTAGTATTAAAATGAACAATTGAAAAATTAAATGTTTACTCTGATGAACTGAAAATACTTTATATATACACCTTATGTTGGCTCACTGATTAATTGTGTTACTATGGCACAATTATTTAATTATATATAATTACAATACTTTATATATACACCTTATGTTGGGCTCACTGATTAATTGTGTAATTATAGCACAATGATTTAATTATTATATATAATTATTTTTTTATTGTAATTATTCATGATATATGATCTACTGGTAGATCCTGATCTACTTATTCAGCACTATTTAGTTTTGAAAGTACCTTAATAGGATATTCGTCAGCTTTCACTTTTATGTCAGTATTGGAAATATGTTTTTTCAGAATATGGCATTCCAAAATTCCAATTTTTTCTATTTTGTTATTTCCTCCCTTTCAAATGTTTGATTTCAACACAGGGTTGCACCAATTGCATATAAGAGAAGTATCAAAATTACATACAAAAAAATAAATAAAACAACACACTGACCTGGTGGTGCAGGTGTACCTGAATTTTGATTGGGTGGCGAGTTGCCTCTCTGATTCTGGTCCGGTTTACCCTGAGGTGGTGGTGGTGGAGAAGAAGAGAGACAGAGAGAGGTAACTGTGTCTGTCTGTGAGTCCATGAAGGCATCACGACATTAACAATCAACAAGATCATACAGATGTGTGTTTTTTTTTTTTTTTTTGGCTCTGCTTTGTTTAACGCTGGAATGACTGTCCATGGTGACCCACCGATTTGTTCTGCTGGTTTCCTTGTGTTAGCAGCTCTTGGTTGGGCTCACTGAAGTTGGGGACTTCAGAGTATACCATGCAGAACCTGAAGAGAGAAAAAAAAAATCAGTTATACATTTGACATTAGCCTGGGCTTGTTCACAGGCTTGAAGGTTGGTATAAATTCTAACTTTTATAAATAGAAGAATAATGATAACTACATAGAGACAGCTCAGGTAAAGGTTGGTATAAATTCTAACTTTTATATATAGAGACAGCTCAGGTACCATCATCAGCACATGACCCTCAGTTTAAGAACCACTGTATAAAAACGACCCAGCAGGACTACTCACTCTCCAATCTTCTGTATGTCTCCTCCTCTTCCAGTGTATAGGGTTAAACAGCCTTTCCACATCGACGCATACCTGACAGAATGAACCACAACTAATGAAGGCAGTAATGTAACGCTAATAAGTGTTGCTCTACAATAAGTACAGTGTGTGTGTGAGTAAGTGTTTGTGGACGCTGTACCCTCTGGTCAGCTTGATGATGTCCCCTGGTTGGATGAGACTGCCGGGTTCGTCCCAAACAGAAATGGCGATGCTCCCGCTCTTATCTGCAACTTTACACGAGCGCACCTCATGGCCGTCTTTCGTTTTAGTAACTCGGCCTGAGACAAAAACGAACTTGCGTTAGATACGTGCGTGTGACAACCATTGTGAGTACATAAAAAAAATCAATAAAAATTACGACTGTCTGAACAATGTCTGCACATTTATTATCTGCGGCTCCTTTAAGAAAGAGAGCCAAGTTACCATAAAGGGTAAAAAAAAAAGCGCTGGAGACTAAATACTCACCTATTTCCAAAACGATGAAAACGATATTCAAATTTTTCAACCCAGGTTTAACATCTTTTATCAAAAATGCCTCAGTTACCGGGGTTGCCATGGTGAAAATGAAAGAAAGATCACTAATCGTCACTCGAACTTCCAGCAGTCAGCGCCGACTGCCCTCACTTTGTCATCCGCGGCTAGGTTAGCTCTAGCCAAGCTATTCAAGTAGCGCGCTACCAAAATAAGAACCGAGTACGTTTTATATCTTAATTTGTGTAAAATATAATATCCACGGATATTATACCCACCACTGTCAGTTGAACAACGTCTAGGAGGGGGAGAAAATTTAGTGTTTGAAGTAAACTTATATCCCCAGGACACTAATCGTGCTGTACAGGAGGCTAAATGCTAGCGAAGCTCGCTGTTTGCTACCTCCCCTTTTCTTTCAGATCCTCTAGACATTTTCCTTCCACGACTTCGTCTATGTGACCGTCACTTGACGACAAATGTTACCCACCGCACTAAATGGACCAAAACCCTAAATATGAGACAGTTTGCTGGCTATAACCAGAGTGGTATGTCACAACAAAGAGCGTTTCACGAAGTTCACGTATCCCCAGTGCTTTTGTCTAATGCTCTGACACATTATACGATTAAAAAAACACTAATCACCGCTTCAAGGATTCAGAAGCTCGTTGAAAATAATCACTGCCAAAGCCACCGATCGCATGTATCACTACACGGGAAGTCAATTGTTAGCTTTTTGTCGCCCACACTCGCCAAGTGTATGTGGTCTGTTTTGTCTACAACAATGACTTCACTAGCTATTTGGTCGTACGACGAGTCATGTGTTAAATAGTTTAGCTGCCCATTGCAAAGTTATTGTAAAACTCAAAAACGCAGCCAAAAAAACCCATGTGCCAGATGTTGCACAGGTTTCCCTTCTTCCACAATGCCCCAAAATCTACGTAAGACAGAGCTGCCGGTCATATTTATATAACACGGCCGGTTCCATTGTCCTTCTTTAGAAAGGGGAGACACATGTTAGATGTGTTTTCTTGCTGTGAAACCGCCGCATCGTACGATAAAAAAACAGTCAAAGACTCATCAAAAATTATACACACAAACAGTGTGTGTTTGTATGGCTACGAACAAAACTGACGTACCTTTTAGTATAAAACAAACAAACAAAAAAAACCCCTTTGGTTTCTTCCAACGTCCACCGAATCTGTCTGGAAAATTAGTCTGGAATAAAATAGTTAAAACCATTTTAACTAAAGCTGTAGTCGATTTGAAATACGTTCAAAATGTAATAAGTCAAAAGACTGTGATTTAGAATTCAAAAGTTTTCGTCACGGACAGGATTCGAACCTGTGCGGGGAAACCCCATTGGATTTCGAGTCCAACGCCTTAACCTCTCGGCCACCGTGACACGCACGGTGCACGTCTAAAAACACGTATATAAACATTAATACCGATACACAGATTTTTATTTAGTTATATGTTTGTACAGTTTGGTAATTTTTATGGGACACAACCAAAAAAAAAGTGACCCTGGTTACCACATACAAGAGAATAAGATGTTGTTACAAGATTCGATCACAAGAGGGAGACAAACACCACTTTAAAAAGGAAGGCGTCAACCATGGAAGTAGAGCGTACCTATGGAGGCCTTTTCTCTTATTCTCTTAGTCTTTAAGTTTTAGTTGTGTTGTCCTGCCTTTCGTGTAGGAACAAGCGCATTGACGTGGGCTCGATGAAGCCTCGCCCAGTGTCTCATTATTTGCCTGGCACTCGAACTCGCCTGGGACTGGGCCGTTGTTTCCATCCACCGTACGAGGTTCGCCGTGTTAACTGCTAATTGATGTATGTAGTTAGTAACTCAGCGAGCAGTGGTTGGGTCCCGTCACAATTGCGTAACATGGGCCCCCTTGACACACATACTGGGTCCCGTCACAATTGCGTAACATGGTCCCCCTTGACACACATGTGTACCGATGTAACGGTACGGGACGTTTATTACATTTTTTTGGACCCACTCTATAGTCAAACTTAAAATCTTATATATCAAACTTTTAAAGATGAAGTCTGCAGTTTTGTTGATCGATTTTTGTACTTTGTAAAAACACTTTTGTGTTTTTCCAAGATTGTTTCATGCTGAGTGTCACCTTCAGGGCTGCGTACATTTAAATTTACATTAATCTTAGTAAATACACAAGGAACACACCGAGTTCAAAGTTAATGTCAGTTTATTGTTTTCTTGCAGTACATACTGGCAAATCCACCTTAACAACTCAGTATCATTCAGTATTTTCCTAAAGCCTACATACAGTATTGCTTTTGTTTTTTTAAAACATGTCACCGTTTTCATCAAAAGTACACATATGTCCAGTGAGGAGACAAGACGTCAAGCAATGAGTTTCAAACTGTTAGAGGCCAAACGTTGTGCTGCTGCTGCTGCTGCTGCTGGTGGTGGTTTATTAGTGGTGACACTGATTCTTCCTGCCTGGTTATGGTTTCTTTGAATCCGTTTTACAGTGTCAGGAGGACATTTGATTCAGTTGAAGCCTCAGCGCAGCATGGCAGAAAAACACACATTCTGGTGTGACCTTCTAAACCTGTGCTCAGACCCACCAACAGTCTTCGACTGGAAATCCATTTTTCAGAATTAAAACATAACAACAACATGGTCTCTCAACCACCACAGCTTAAGTAATGGTACGTGTTTGGATTTACAGAAATGTGAAAAAGTGCTGGGCAGGTGTGTACGGCTGCTGTACCCCAAGTAGTTAGAGCAAAAAGAAGGTCTCATTTTCAACAACATAAAAATAGAAGTTTTTTTTTTTTAAAGGAATAATGTGGGTCATTGACTGAGGGCTGGTCGATGCAGCTTCCTACAATACTGGGTTATTACAGTCCAAAGAATAGGAGCAGTATTCAAATCCACATTCCACATTTGAATATGAACATGAATATATTATATATATATATATAATATACAAAATGGGTCAATGTCGTTGACAAGTTCACAGTTGTTGAAAATGATGTTGTGGTTTTTTTTTCTGCCTAAAACATTTGCACAAACACAGTATGTAAATTTCCTAATGTCGCTGTTCCTTACTCTCTACAACATAATACACTTCGCAGGCTTTAATCGACTTCACACATCTCCCTGCAGTCAAACAGAAGTTCTTTTGGCCAAAGCTCCAACGGTGGGTCGACACCCGGGAGCCCGTGCACAGGCCCAGCACCTGTGGCCTCTCGGAGCATCTCCTTCTCGCTGCAGCATCGCAGCAAGGAGGGCCAAGAGGATGAAAAATAGACCGAGCAGTGGCCATCCGTCATTGGCTGGAATGCTGTCGTGCACTTCTGTGACCTCACTCTCACTCCTGCCTGGATCACTGACCCCTACTGGTATCATTCACTAAATTATATTTCCAGGGTGTATGGGATTAGAAACCACTACCTGCAGCTAATGACGTGCAACAAGAGGAAGGTCACTTTGGAGTTATTTTTGTTTTAAAACAGAAAGATTGAAAAAAAAAAAAAAACCCAACACACATTTTTTGTAATCTGACCTCAGAATAGCTGCAAGAAATTCTGGGAAAAAGAGCAGTCACACATGCTTTACCATTACTTATCTGCAGTAAACACAGGAACTTAATCCATCAGAGCGAGCGAGCGAGAGAGAGAGAGAGAGAGAGAGAGAGTAAACATACCAGCCTGTGCCAGGTACATGTGCATGAGGAGTATGTGTGTGCGTGAACATGTGTGAGATTCAAACCCTCCCTCATGCAAGTTATGCAAGTGAACGATGAAGTTTTCAAACTAACTCCAAATACTCACGTGTACATTTCAAGGTCAGGTACTGAGAGCAGATCAAATGAATATTTTGCAGTGTTTAAGCTGTAAATACGTAGAGATTAGTTAGCCTGTAGCATAGAAAATCACTAAATTCCTGTGCGGGAGTCAATAACTGTATCACTAACACCAGTCTCTTTACTCAAGTGTCCTTCATCAGTGAAACTCAAATATATGTATGTATATATATATTTCTTTTAACTTTCAAATAAACACAAGTGATAAATTTTTTTTTCTGATAAAAATATTTATTTTTCTACTTTAAGGTGAGTTACAGTTAATTATTAGCCGTGACAACAAATCACTCTCATCTCAGGGTGAACTAGTAGGTTACCAACGGTAGGGTTAGAAGTTTTCTTACTAAAATCTAAAATTTAACATAAAATTTGACAAAGAAGGACAGGCGACGTGATGGCGCCCCTACAGGCCACTTCAGCACATTTGTCTCTTTTGTTTTGTTTTTCTTTAAGCACAGGTACAAAGACTTCCGTAAACAAATTTAAAGGTCACTACAAAAAAACGCCCCGGCACGCAATTAGAGAAAACAGACAAAGTGACCATTTCAGCTGTGGTCAACCTGGCAACACGCTGCCTCAGTGGGCCGTGGGCAGCAACACTGTGATGGATATTTCGTATTTTTCAGTATAAGAACAAAGAGACTGTCAGAGATGAAGAGCCATCACAGAAAGACACAGCAGGGGGCAGATAGTTGGCCCACCACCTTGGAGATGTGCACCGGTCGAGGGGAATGAGTTATGGTCCACTGACGCAACATTACTCTCCTTGGACAACGCAGCTAGAGCGTTAAGGATGAGTTCTTCCATTGTCCGGCGCGGCACTGCTGCCGCAGAGCCAACACAGAACAGGCGCCGTTCAAAAAACTGGGTCGTATTTCACCGGGTTTCAGATCCAAGCGTTACGCAGTCCACGCTCCGCGCCAGCTGGTCAGAAGTTTTCTGCAGAACTTGGACTAATTTCTTTTGAAAACCTTGATGCGGTTAAAAAAAAATTAAATGCAATGGTAGAAACGGTTTTGATACAGGTAGCATTTGTGGTACTTGGGCTCCCCCTAGTGGTATGTGAGGAATCGGATTCCTTTCTGGACTGGATGAGTCACCTAGCTGCTAGAAACATCTGTTATATATTCTTCCGTGTATGTGTTTCAGGGTTGAACTGAAGTACTAGTCGTAGTAGAACTTCATTGTGCACCGTGTCTTTGGCCAATAGTCTGATAATCTCATTAGGAATAAATACTCTTCTTCTTACACTGGTCTTATCTGAACAGTGTAGGTCGGTGCTGCTGTATTTCAATGTTGGTCAAACTGGTGGTACTGGGACCGACAGTGGTCACAGGCGGTGAAAAGTTTGAGAACCACTGTTTGAGAACCCTCAGGGTTATTCTTCTTGCTGGTGACGATAAAGACTTGTATCAGGCCACAGTTTGAACCACTGGGTTAGGAGTGGAACCAGTCGGATCAGTTTTTAGGACTCAACCACAGACCTATTTTGGTAAAGTTGCAAGGAGTATGTTAAGAAATCAGGCAACGGTACCATAGGTTGGACATCGGATGTGTTGAGATGATCTGGGAGGGGGTGCTGGGAGAGTAGATGCTGGATTAGTAGTGGATTTCAAAACTTGAGCCAAAAAAAAAAAAAAAAAAAAATTAAAACGGATGCTGAAAGAATTTCAATCTAGATTAATGGACTTCCTCAACAGTGGTCGTTGCCGTGGTAATCTGGGTGTCGGCCGCTGTCTCCACTGGGGTTTTTTGCTTCTCGTCTACTTCCTCATCTTCCTCTTCCTCTCCGATGTCTTCATCCTGTTCTGGCACTGCCAGGCCAGCAGAATGATCATCGGTGATGTCACACTCAATGGCCGATGCGTTTCCATTGACCGCCGGCTCGGCTTTAAGGCTATCTGGGGTGGAAGGACAGAGCGCCTCCTGGATCTTCTCCACAACACCGTCATCGACGTGAACCTCTGCCGTGGGAACCTCGACATCCAGGCCTCCTAGTGGAGGAATTTCCACATGGGCTCCTTCCACAGGTGAAACCTCCGTGGACACCTCTCCATCTCGAACCTTCTTTACGTTGAAGGTCATGGGAGAGACCTTGAACGAGGAGGACTTGGAAGTCGGGCTCTTGGGGTTGTTGGGAGTGAGGCTCTTCTTGATTTTGTCGCGTTTCTCTGGAGGAACGATCTTGGTGCCGATCTGGGTCATCTTCTTCTCGATGCTCTGGCGTGAAAAGGCTTTCTTCAGGCTGTCAACCTTCTTCAGGCTGTTGCGCTTGAATTTGTCAGCTCTTCTCTCGAACGTGCGACTGCTGCCTGCGGCCATTTCATCGTCACCTGCCAGAGATTCCTCCTGGTGAAGAGTGACATCATCATCGTCATCCGAGGACAGGCTAATGGTCTGGAGGCCTTCCTCGTTGCCGCGGCCATCAACGGAGCCGGCGATGGACGGAGTGGGGTGGGTGGACTCTGCATCGTACTGGCTTGGTTGGGGAGTCTTCAGAGAGTCCTTTACCATCACACTGGTGGGGATCTCGTTGTCCTCCTGTGAAACATGAAGAAGTAACAAATTGGTTAAATGGGTGGTGATTTCATGAACGGCACATTTTTGCTCAAAAATGTAAACACAGTTTACAGACGCGTTCCAGCTCAGGATTTCTACTCTACACGTGAGAAGATTTCTAGACGCCTTCTGAGGAATTCTTCGTCGGGTTGCCTTAAACATACGTGCTCACACATTCCTCCGATGTTTGTTTGTACTTCTGGCCGTCCTGCTGTTACAAATGGACGTCTGTCTTTAATACATTTCAACACGTTGGCCCACGGCGTCTGCTCAGGACTCGGGATGTGAAGAATTTCACCTGTTTCTCTTCAGGAGTCACACATTCTTAATTTTCTCTTTTTGCTTCGACTCTTTCACCACAGACTCTGTGGCTGATGATTCAACATTTTGCTCAGAGAATCAGAGACTTTTGTGTTTTTGACAGGGTATATATTCAAACCGCGCTCTGATGAGTGAAGACATGAAGTACTACTGCATTTCAGAGAGCTTAAAACGCCTTTAGTTGTTCAGTGCAATCGGCTTATTTTCTTTGGTTGTCATTAGCACATGCTTCAGGACTGGACTAACCAGACGATCGAGCAGAGTCCTGCCTGTCTCGTCCATCGTCTTTGGTACTAAAGAGACTGATCACAAAGACAAACCAGTGCTGATGAAAGACGTCTTTGTGTATTAGCTACATGAGCAAAGTCAAGTTCACGTGGTCGCATCTGAAACACTGACCTGTGCCACGAGGACAGAAAACAGTACAAATATGTATCTGGACGTCGGGCTTTACCAGGAGATCAACTGGTTAATAAAATGGTTAACTATCAAACGACAGAATAAACACAGAATATTTGAAGGTGTTACGGTCAATAATAGTCCTTTTTACACTGATCATTTTACTGATAACTTCCTTACATCTAACTGACTGGTAAAACTGGTTTAGAGAAAAGAGTCGTAAACGGAACAGAAAGTGATAAATAATTAGTGAATAGAACCGTTGAACAGACACCAGTTTAATGACATTCAGATTCCAAACACGCCCTAACATAAACATAAAGCATGAGCTCGCGAAAATGATTAGGATTGGATGTTCAACAGCGCTCCATTAAAGACCAAACTGAAACTTGGGCATTTTTCTACATTTCTTGCCTCCCCTAATGTGCTCTGCTGCCCCCCAGAGGAGGCGCTAAACATCAAGGTTTGTTATTTTTTCTTTTAAACAGTGTATCAGTCTTTGTTTCTTTTTCTCGTGTGTCGACTCTGACGTTGTATCAATAAAATCAAATCTCCTTTTTTTGACGTTGTATCAATAAAATCAAATCTCATCTTATCCGACTGTATCTTATCTCAACCCATCTTACTGTTAACGATCTTTTCTTTTATTATCGCAGCTTATTTGAGACTACGTCCACCTCCAACCATGATCTTCTGGAAGCAGGAGTCCCCGTCCTACGGTGGAGTCAGGGTTGAGGGACTGGTTCCGACGACTGAGGAGATCCTGTTGAGGTTCTCACTTCACACTGGTTTGGAAGAAACACCATGTAACTGTGACAAGGTGAGCCTGTTTGACCCAGTGCCGGCGGGGGGGAGGGTAGGGGGGGTCAGGCAGTCTCATGTTTCTGTTGGTGGGGGTAATAATATCCTCCCTCTTCCCTTTGTTTACATCGTCTCTTTGTGTGTCCTGTGTTAAAAAGACAAACTCAGCAGTTCAGTGGAAATCGATGCACGTGTGTGAAAGCAGCGCTGCTTCAGAGCGGAACACTTCACGTCGCTGCACACGGACCATTGATTTTTCCACGGTGAGTGGACCATCAAACACCTGTGGACCAACGACAAGGCCTCCAACCCCAACTGTAGTTTGGGTACTCTGATGATTACCGTATTTTCTGGACTCAAAGCGCTCCCTTTTTTTAAAGGACTTTGGAGGGTTCCTCTGCGTTTAACTCCGTTTAACTTACCCGTACTACAGTACATACCTCGCATTTTTACATACCTGACACCGCAGACCCCGCCCACCCGCGTCGTGTCAGTGCACTGACTCGTTTTACGGTACAACCCAACCAGACATGTTACGCAACATCAGTCCTAACACTGCTGTTCTCCCTGGAGTTCATGAGGAAAAAACAGAGGAAATATCCTTGTTATCTTTAGACCTCCCTTCACACATGACACCACCCAACAGTGGGGTCGGGGTCTCCGAGGTGGACGTGCGCTGATAAATACAGTATGAACTTTAATACATGAAAAAAAAAAACACAGGGTCTTGAACCAACAACTGAAGACAGATTTAACTTCTGACGGAGTAATCCCTCGTCACTGACTTCAGGCCAAATCAGGACTGAACACAGAGGGAGACAAGTCGGAGCAGACTCAAGTCCTGCCTCCCCGGAGGAAAACACGGCCCGTTGACTGGGTCTGAAACTAGTTATTGCTTTGTGTAATTACACAAACAATAAGGTGTTCAGGTGTGTACTGCGCAAACACGGCTGCTGGAACGTGGACGGCGGCGATGCAGAAAAACAGCCATTATCCCCGAGAGACGACGGCGTCAATCGTTACTTCACAGGAAGTAGACTGTGTTCTAGAGTGGACCATTTGAATATTATTACTACAGCGCCCCCTGTTGTATTTAGAGCGCTTCAAACTCCACTGATCTTTACCTTAAACAACAGTCATCTCTACAAAACCAATGAAATAAAAACTCTGCTCTGTGACACCACAGCGGGGCCAGACCCTCACTTTGAGAACCACCGGTTTAGAAGCTGGGTGTGTGAACATTAAAAAATATCTTGTTTTTCGGACGCGTATCTTCACAAAATGAGAACATTCAGGACCAAATGTCCATTGTTTTCTGCTTCCTGCTGTGCACATGGCGACCTTGGTGACAGGACGGGGCGGACAGTGGGGTCCGATAACTGGGGAGGGAGCAGACGTGTTGGACGTGATGTCAGATATTTCCTTCATACTGTGGCAGAACAGGAGACCAGCAGCAGATGTGTTGTTTTTTTATTAATATATATTTATGTTTTATTATATCAATATACGTAAATATCGCAATATTTTGTTCCGCGATACCGTATCAATCTCTCTGTATTGATTTTTTATCATCATTCCCACCAATTTTCTTTCTTCTCTAGTGATTCCAAATGTAGATCCCTCTGTTCCAGTGTTAGGAACCTGACATATATACATACATATATATAGTATCGCAGTATATTACAGTATATCGTATCGTTACACCTGTGTCGTGATACGTATCGTATCGTCAGATTCTTGACAATACACACCCATATTTTATAAACTGTTCATTTATAATATATATTGACTTCAGTCTTTGTCAAAACCCAATACTTTCCATTGGGTAATACTCACCTCTGATACGTGTACTTGCAGTATCTACTTGAGTTCAGCCTCCTCCTGGTTTCCCTCTAACATTATGTCACACATCCGTGTCATTAAAGTGGTTACAGCTAGTACTTTGAGGTTGTAATCTGTAGCTGCAGACGTGACTAGAGCTGACTCGTCAAACCTGAACAACGAGCAGCGAACATAAGTACGGTCGTCACCGTCCCCCTGCAGGCCGTCTCCGTGAACAGCCTGCTTCAACAGACTCCACTCCTCCTCACCGTCCACCTTCATCGCTCTTCATCTTTAAAAAGTACAGCTTTGGTTCACATGCTGATTTAAAGCGGGTTTTTTTTTTTACACCAGGTGACCTTCATGACCTCTAATGACACGTCCCCTCCTACTGTGGTTAGAAGTCTGGGTCAAAGGTCGGATTCCGACCTACTGAATGGCAGAAAGGTCAAGAGGTCGGAGCTTTGGTTTTACAACAGCGTGGCGGGGTCTGTGACCCTCTCGCAGTAAGGCAAGAGCAGTTACCAACCTCCCACCGTGTGACCACGGCAGGAAATGCAACGTTAAACTGTGGAGAACAGTCGACTCTCGCTGTCACCACACCGTGTTGTCTGAGAGCGCCACCTATTCATTTTTTAATAATACATGAGGCAACGAGTCACGAACACGAGGAACACGACACCGTTCAACCACAGCCAACAACCGTAATGACAGGTGAACACACGCTGCCGACACGACACACACGGACACGTCAACACCGTGTTGGATTCATGAACGTCCAATCAGAGCTCGTCAACAAATTGTTTTTATAAAAGTTTTTAAATATTTCCTTGGCATAAACTGAAAAAAACTATGGCTGAACAGTTATTGTGATAATAATGAGTCGGCGAAAATGACCAATCAGGTGACTCCGTTCATCAGACGTTGTAGCAGTGCTCTTTCATAGGAAATGAA